CATTGCATTCCTATATACTAACAATGAAATCTCAGAAAAAGAAAAAAAAATCCCTTTTGCAATTGCAACAAAAAGAATAAAATACTTATGAATAAACTTAACCAAGAATGTGAAAGACCTATACACTGAAAACTGTAAGATATTTTTAGAAGAAATTGAAGAAGCCACAAAGAAATGGAAAGACATTCTGTGTTCATGGATTGGAAGAATCAACACAGTTAAAATGGCCATATTACCCAAAGTAATATACAGATTTAATGCAATCCCTATAAAAATTCCAATGGCATTTTTTAGAGAAATATAACAAAAAACATCAGATTTGTATGGAACCACAAAAGGCTCTGAATAGCCAAAGCAATAGTAAGGAAAAAAGAACAATGCTGGAGGTATCACACTCCCTGACTTCAGTTTGTACTACAGGGCAACAATAATCAAAACAGTATGGTGCTGGCAAAAAAACAGACACACAGACCAATGGAATAGAATCGAGAACCCAGAAGTAAATCCACATAAATATGGACAGATAATTTTCAACAGAGAAGCCAAAAATAAACAGTGGAGAAAAAGACAGCCTCTTCAATAAATGGTACTGGGAGAATTGGAAAGCCACATGCAAATAATGAAACTAGACTGCTATCTGTGACCGTGTACCAAAATTAACTCAAAATGGATCAAAGACCTAAAGATAAGACCTGAAACAATAAACTGCATAGAAGAAAACATAGATACAAAAGTTATGGACCTTGGGTTCAAAGAGGATTTTATGAATTTGACCTCAAAGGCACCTAAGAATTAACAAAACTTCTATACTATCAGCTAATAACCAATGAATATTTAAATTTCCCCATTTAACTTCAAAAGTTCTTTTAGAGATTTGTCATTGAATTTAGAGAAGACCAGATCATTTGCCTTGTAGAATCCACATTCTGGATTTATCTGATTGTTTTCCTGTGGAGTCCTTTGTTATTTTTCTATCCTTTATATTTCCTATAAACTGGAGGTTAGGTGTAAAGGCTTAACACTACGATGTTGTGTACTTCTCACTGCAGCACATCCGGAAGTGTGAAATGTTGAGCTCTCTCATTTTTGGCTATGTCAGTTTTCATAACTGGTTAAGATATTGACCCCCATTGTAAAAGTTTGACTTTCCTTTTCAATTGGCAACTAATCAGTGAAGTTATACTTTGTCATTATTGCAAACATCCTTCACTCCCACCACCTTTTTAAGTAGCAGTTTTAGTTCGTGATTAGAAACACGTATTTCATTAGGAATTGATAAACGGTAATTTTCTAATTCTATTATTCTTTTCCCTTTCATTAGCTGATATTATTCTGTAAAGAGGAGATTTCCCTCATTAACTGAGACTAGCCTAAAGTTCCTTCTAAAAAGTCAAAGTAAATGCTGGATTCTTTATATATTTAATTCACATTTTCACATTACAGAGTTGGTGTAATAGTCATTTCACAGTAATGAGTTGGTGTAAATCTAATTTGAAGTAAATTAGATTTCTTTTTCTCATCATGGACTCACATGTTTTTATTTTTTTAATTTTTGGAATCAATTAGTTATTTATTAGTAGTACTTTTTGATGCTTAATTTGTCCTCTGTTTGGACCATGAGAGCTCCTTCTAGCTGGATGCTTGAAGACATCATTATTATCCTTTGATGTCAAATGTTTTTCCTGGGTCTCTGTCCACAGCTGAGACCATGTGTTGTTCCACTTGCTACAAACAGCAGATTCCCCTCTTTCTTATCCTAGCAGCACCTCCATCTGAAGAGACCTTCTATGTCCTTCTAGACCATGTCATTCAATAAACTTAAAGTGCAAGACAGCTTCTCCCACCCCATCAACTCTTTGCTTAACACATCAAGAAGAACCCCTGCAAACTCAAACAAGATCATAAAGGAGGTAACCTCCCCTTGAAATGTCTTAAAGAGTTCCCTTACCTTGCATAGTAGTCATTGGGTGGAACTGCTTCTTGAAAGAATTGGAACTGGTATAAATAGAGTCCAATCAAGTGTCCTGCGGTGAAAATAGCCAGCAGAACACAGAGACAGCTGAACAGCAATGGATCGAACGTCCGGCACCAGGACCACCAGGTGCACAGACCCAAAAATACAAAGAAATAGACAGATGAAGTCAAAGATGGCAACATCATACCTAAGGAAGAACAAATGTGATCATGAAAAATTGCACAGAACTAGAAAATCATTTACCACCCAGTAATTGCAAGTACTGGAGATTAAGCAAATTTCCTTTATGTGCTTTTAGGTATTAATCAGGTTTTTAAAATATTTATCATATTTTATTTACAAAATCAAAATTAATGCTATTTTTATTATGAAAAAAGTAATACATAAAGTGATATTTGTAAATATGGGAAAATACCAGATTATGAAGAAATTCTACCTGTGGTGTTTGAGCTGAGTAAACATCTACTTTTCATACCAGTAGAATTGGGCATATTTACTTGCATGTTTCCATCTTCTATTTCTCCCTAAATGTTTTCAGGAATACTTGTATGTTAATTTCAACTTTCCCTGATACTATTTTTAAAATAATGATTGATGATCGTTTTTCTTTTTTTGGTTAGCTAGGATTCATAATAATATTATGTCCCATGGCAGTTAAAGTCTCACTAAAACTTTGTCTTACCTGACAAAATTTGATTTGCACTATCACCAAAAGGGGAAATGTGAAATGAAGTAACTCCTCTACAGACATTTAAAAACTTTTTTGGGGGGGACATTTTGAAATGACTCCTCATTAAAATACTGGATTACATTTCTTGAGAAATTCTATTCTCTTTTCCACTTTTTAATTTTCCTATTAAAAAACAGTTAAGTTGTTTCATCTTGTGAAATTTAACTAAGCAGTATAGAATAAACCTCGCAGTAGCTCTAGAACAATGGTGAACAGGGAAATAGAAGGAGAGAAAAGATTGAGATAACAGTATATGGAATAAGCAGTCTGTAGCCAAAATTTAAAGGAAGTGAGCGTCTGTGCTGGAAGATTACAATCTAACTTAGGAAGAAAAATAGTAAATCCTGGAGAGTTAAATTATGACTACTAATGTAAACAGACATGCTTTTGGAATGTACATGTGCAGCTCTGGATGGGTACACTAAAATTGTTCATTATAGCAGGTTACCATTCATAAGCTCTGAGGGGAAGTAGTTGTTTTACCGACCTACATAGAAAATGACATCACTTAACAGATATGGAAAAAGATTGCTTTACAGAGGTTAACAAGAACCATCTAAAAACAAAAAATAGAACTGCACAGGAAAAATTATTGATGTGTGTGGTTTGTACATGGGGCCACTTTTACAAAAGCTACAGTTATTATTTTGGTGTCGTGGAATAGACTTGCTTCCTTTATTTTCTCTTTGACCATTTTTTTTCATTATTCGCCGAAGTACCACTGTGCTCCACCCAGTATTGGAAACTCTCACCTGATGAACCAAGTAAAATTGTCACAACAACTTTTCCAGCGGTGGTTATCATGTTGCCAATAAACTCCTTAAGCTTGGAAGCCACAAAGGCAAGCCTGCGGAAGACTTTTAATTTTGTGCTTTCTTCCATCTCGCCTTCAACACCATCTCCTGCATCTAAATCCTCTTCATAGATCAGTGCCTCTTCTGGATCTATTTTTTCTCCTCCAACCTAAATAAAAAACAAACAAACAACAAAAACAGAAAACACAGCAGTCCAGAACTCTGCCCATCTACTCCGTAGATTACATGGTTTGTAATTTATGGGTCAGTCAATGAAATGATTTCACAAATCAGAAAAAAAATGCAAGCAATCACTTAAGTGCCCCAGGTCTCTGATAGTCCCTGTATAAGGCCAAGGAACTCCGATCTTTCTAGAATAAGTAAACCGGAAAAATCACTAATCATAGGGTCCCTAAGAGCATGTCACCTTACCTACATGAGCTCTTTTTTTTACAGACAGAACAAGAAACTGTCTGAAACATCTATTAATAATCTAAGCTTTCATTAAATTTTCATCAAAAATTTCATCCAAATTTACTGAGTTTGCCAGCAAGGTGATTGGAGGCTTGATTAAGTATCCATGACTCTAACTGAAAGAGTAGGTCAAATCAGTGCTTAGGAAATCCTTCTTCCTGAAGTTTATCTTTGTTCACTATTTTAGTATTTCCTGACCATGGGAGGATGAGTGGTCTTGGGCTACTTGGCTAAATATGCAATCACTTCCTATCTTATCCTTTTTTAGAGAATGATATACTCATTTAATCCTAGACAGTTCATCACCTCAGTACAATCATTAGAGATTTATGGAAGAAACACATATACAGAACATACACATATTTTCATGTATTATTTTAAACTGGGTATACTAGGGTGGTTTTGTTTTTTTGTTTTTAAAGAATACATAGGAATTTTTTTTTTTTGGCTAGACTCTTTCTCTAGAAGGGTTAGGATATTTTTAGAGAAATTATAAATATAAACTATCACGTAAGACAAAAGGAGGCTGTTTCAGATGCATAAAACTGTGCTTGCATTTGCCCCTAGGCTGATAGAAATTCCCATCTTTAGCCAGGTTGGAAAAATTGCAACTGGCAGCAGAGCCAGCAGGGTCTTTAGGCCCAGTTCAGACATCTATTTAGGGCTTAAAGAGTAGAGCCTGGACTCTCAACCCATTTGAAAGGTTCTTTTCTGGTACACCTTGTTCAGATACTTATATAATATTCACTGACAGTATCTGAACCTCTAACAAAGCACAGGTTCACTGGAGGAAGGCAGGCATAGGAAGGCTGGTACAAAGTTCAACCAAGTGCAGAGTGGCCTTGGAGACTCAGGTCTTGTTTGCCTAGAAGGGTACAACCACTCCTAACTTAAGTCGGCTGTTGAAGCCAAGCCTACAGGATGCACCCCTACACCCCTACACACACACACACACACACACACACACACACACACACACACACACACACACACGGATTTTATCCTGGGCTTATTCAAGTTTATGTGCCCATATTTGGTTCTACTGTATTTCATCACAACACATTTATATTTTTCCCTGAAGGAAAAGGAATATCTCATACTTATTAAGATTTTTCTATCTGTTCAAGGCCTGGTGTGCGTTAGTATCTCTAGTAAGATATACAGCAATAAACATGTAAACAAGTAAAAAAAATTAACAAGGTGAATATCTCACAGTGATAAATGCTATTCAGAGAATTAAAACAGGGTAATGTGATTGTGAGTACCAGGGTAGATATTTTAGATTCTGAGGTCAGGAAGAGCCTCCCTCAGGAGGTAATATTTAAGCTAAGATCTGACTGCCACAAAGTCACCACCCATGTGGAACATCTTAGGCAAGAGCATTCCAGGCAGAGAGAAGAGCTGGTTAAGGCTTCATGGTGGGACCAGAAAGAAGGCGTGTGTTCCAAGACCTACTTCTTTTTCCACCTCTGGCTGGCACATCAGCCCACCTACCTAGCGCCCCGCCTGTGGAGCATACACTCACAACCTGCACCCTCCTTTGGCTGTGGATGAGCTGCACATGCTGTGACACCAGGGAGAAGGACGGCCCCAGCCTGTCCCCTGCAACACCTCGTGTTCCCTTTCTCTTGAATCACCCCATGAACAAACATGCTTCACCATCTCATGTTAGAAGAATAGACATCTGCCTTCCAACCCACATTTACCTCGCAAAGCATAACTCTCTAAGAGTTGGCTAAATGCATGGTGCTACTTCCCCCACACTTAATTTCTCTGGAACCCACTGTGACAGGACTTTGTCAACCTCTCCACCTACTGAGGGGTACAGTGATGTGTTTCACATGGCAATCCCCGAGGAGACTGCAGCTAGGAGGTCATTGCTATGGTCAAGGAGAAGTGAGTAGTGGAGCTGAAGAGAGTTTGTGTCTTTTCAGTATGTCTTGGAGGTCAGGTCAGCAGGGCTAGCTGGTACATTTGATGTGGAGAGAGGAGCGATAGAGGAGGATCGAAACATTTTCTATATTTTTGTCTTTGTTGTAAGATGGGGACAATCCAGAGTAGAGTGGGTTGGAGGGATTCAATTCTGAGATTCTTTTCAGGCATTCTTGTTGGAGGTGTCACCAAGGCAGTTAGTATAGAAACTTGGAGTATTGGAGAGAGGTGGGAATGGGCAAGGTGCATTTGGGGTTCTCTGGCATATGGATGGTTTTGAAAGTCATAGTGTGATGAGATTACCTGGAGGATGTACAGAAATTCCACCTGTTAGGGGCTGCCATATCCTGGGACCAGACTCTCTCCCCAACCTAAACCTCGTGTCTTTGCCTAGAAGCATCACACACAGGAAACGACGTGAGGGACACATAATCCACAGATTCTCTTTGCCTTGCGATGAGCTATTCCTTTCCCAGATTCTAAGGCCCTGGCTCACATGCCAGGTCTTCTTTCCGCCTGCTCCATCTCCTCCAACCAGAGTCACTGAGGGGATCAATATAGTGACACTGTTGCTATGGCACCCACATTGCCATCCACAAAGGAGCTACTCACTGAGCACCTGCTGCTTAGTATCCCCTCACAACAGGTGAACAACTCATTAAAAATTCGCCTTGAAGAAATAAGTTTGGCCAAAACCTTCAGTCACTGTACTTGAAAAAAGGAGACAGAGAGAACATAGCTAGAGCTGCCTGGGTCACAGAAACATGCTGGTAAGAGTCATAATAAATGACTTATTATTCAATTATAGAATTGCTACGGATGTAGATTAAATCAAGTAGAAATCTCTTTGTGAGGTTAAATAAATGCATTTTCCTGACCTCTCTTAGGCGGGACTGGGGACCCTGTGAGTTTTATAAACATACCACTGCACTTGAGGTTTTTCAGTATTTTTGTACCAAAATCCCTAAGGCTCTCAGTAGGAAATGCTTTCTAAACCTGTCAAGCTGACAGAGAGAGCTGAAAGTGAGATGGGTTTGACTCTGTGAGTCCCTGCTGGCCAGGCTGGGGCCAGAACTGCCATTAGTCATATCAGGCCAACTAATTAACAGGTAGGCTTTCTCCCCCTAAATGATTTGTCTCGTGAACTAATAAACACCGACACTCTAGAAGAGTGTCTACTCACTCCAGCATATTTAGTAACAAGCCGCCTTGCTGGTCAGTTATAATCTGTCCCTGCATTGGAACAGCTTGATTCTGTCCTTGAAGCTAAGAAGGCGTAGCTGTAAATAAAGATTTAGTCCTCCTGGCTCCTGAGCTACCTTAGAAATTAAAGACAAGGAGAACCCTTTACAGTTTAAAAAACCATATAAAATATTATTTATCATTATTGTTTGTGTCAAAATCTAAAACTTATTTGAAGAAGTGCAAGTCCTTTAACTTGCCATCTTTAAAAGTTCCTGACTTGAAAATGTGCCCACATGTATTATGGTAGTGTCTCTCATTTCATGAGAGGAAGCTCTAAGTTGGTGTGGGCTTAGCTGCGTGCAGATCAGACTATTCTGGAACTGGCTCAGGGCCTAAACACAGGGCAGCCTTTGCATCTCACCCTACAACTGCCTCCCAAGAGCCCCACACCCACTAGTCATAGCATCAGCAGTCATTCCCACTACAACTTTGGACAGGGAAGACACAGTAAATTACTTTTGGTAGAACCCAAACATCCATATTTCTTTACCTCCAAGCACTAATAAGATTCAACCTGGGTTGGAATAAATGCTAAGATTGCCTGGGCATCTTTAAGAGGACAGATTACCAAGCTCCATCCAAAATTTCCTATATCAGAAATTCTGGGAGAGAATCCAAGATCGGTATGAGTAAAGAGCGGCCATACGTGACTCTGAAGCAGCCCGCCTAGAATCCACACACTGGCTGCCACCTGCTACCACTGAGCCACTGATTCTACAGTCAGCTGATGAGGCAAAATCTGAAATATGTTGTTTGACTCATATCCTATACAGATTCCCTTAACTGGCAAATATATTGTAGTGATTTATCTGTGAAGCCCCTTCAGGTTTCAGTGAACCTTCAGATGTTAGTCCAGAGCTTTTCATGTAGCTGAGTCTGTTTACCTCTTCTTTGTGGTTAAAATCAAGCGATTAGAAACATTTCAATGGGAGTATATCAAAGTCACAAATAATGATTCAAAAGATCTGGGAGGCAAAAGGAGCATTTTTTCTAAAATGCATTTTTTATGAGTTGTTTATTCATTGTTTATTATTAAATGTTAACAATTTATCTCAACAGAATGGGTTCATCTCAACAGAAGAGCCCATGGCAGGAAAAGGCAAATGCTGTGAGTCACTGCAGAAGATAAATGTCATCCACACAGTGTCCCAGTGGAGCAAACAGTCAAGGAGAGGAAGAGAGACTTGTTTCTGTGGTGTCAGGTATGTTATGTAAGCCTAACGTGATAGCATTGTATAGATAAAGCAAATACTTTATTCTGTTGCTACGCTTGTTTTAGGAAGATTATTTTTCCAAACTTTTAAGAGCAATTTAAATAGTCCCATCTCATTTGGAAAAGTGAGTATGGAGATGTATGCTGTCAACCACCTTCTACAGAGCAATGGAAGTTTAATAAAGGATGGGTAAAGACAAACTGAATTAGCAGACAGTGACTGGTTAGGTTAGCCAGGATGGCAGGGTCTGCAGAGCTTTAGAAAAATAGCCCTAGTACCACAACACACATACTCCTGCCTCCCA